CTCCTTCACAGACATTCAGAGGCTTCGTCTGTTATTCAGATATTCTTTATATAGATTTCAGGATTGACTCGCACACTTTAAGTTTGTTTTTCTTTAATTCGTTTTAGTGTCTTAATTGTTGTACATTTTAGACTTAATATTTTAATGTCCAAACCATGTGGTAGTTTAATTTGAATGTCTTTTTTTATTTCATAAGTTTAATTCTGGGCTGCTATTTTTTTCATATTGTTATTTGTAATGCATTTGTTTATTCATCCATTCACCCTCATGCTTTCATATTGCATGTTCTTACTTTAACTCCATATATTTTTATACATTTCTTTATTTTATCTTTTAATTGCATATTCTAAATCTTTACTTTAAATAAACAATATTATTTCTATTTTTTTATGTCACAAAATCTATTTCCCCCCCGGATGAATAAAGCTTTCTGATTGTGATACCGATTACATATCTGAATACCGGACTCTAACTTTGTATTTGTTCGTGGTGTTCGCGGGTCAGTTTTGACCCATGATTTATCTCAGTCCAAAACACTCAAAAATAATGACTATCATCCAATATTGTTTTAACTACATCATAACTAACTTATAATGCATTCAGAACCGTACAATCCTGTTGTAATTTAATGTTATGGCTCCCAAAAAACATTACACCACATATTTGAGTAAAACATGTGATTCAATTCACTCATTATATTCCCTATGGTGAAGACAGTGGATCGTTACGTTATCTGACTATAATAGACTCATATTAGAACATACGTTTTAAATGATTGTTACAGTGGATGAAGGGGGGGGGGGGGGGGGGGTGTCTAAAGTCAAAGATTAATCTTGATTGGGCCAAATTTGCCCCGAGTCACCCACAACCATTCTGCTGGCTCTCCCCAGACCCCAACACCAAATTATACACTTTTTTTTTTAGAGACCTTCAGACTTGGCTAAAATTGTCCAAATCAGTTTTGTAGTGTTTATATATCTGTTGTGGAGGATATCATGAAGCCTCGTTCCCTTACAATAACTAGAGCGTAGTTATTATATCATTTTAACTTGAAACACAACATAAGGGTTAAAAGCAGAGGTTTTTCCCCGGAGGACATTGAAGTGTCGTGGTGCGTTCAGGGTCTCTCTGCTCGACTGAACGACTTCACAGGAAAAACAAACGTGAGCAGAATCAGAAACGACGCCGCGTCCTGTTTCCTCCCGCTGAGGGTATTTTTAGAAAAGTTCCCACAGATAACAAACGCCTTAAAAAACTCACAGGACCTCAAGTCTGTGCGTTATTATGGGATGCCTTAAAAAGGAAGTGTGTGTGTGTGTGTGTGTGTGTGTGTGTGTGTGTGTGTGTGTGTGTGTGTGTGTGTGTGTGTTTGTGTATTTAAACGTAGGACTTTTACTTGTAACACAGTAGTATTACTACTCGTACTTAAGTACACGATCTGTGTACTTCTTTGAGTACATATCAAATATATAAGTCACATATATCCTATACGTCCTCTCTGCTATCTCTATAGTAATAGCATTTTAACAAATACAGTTTTTAATAGTGAGACAAATCTCCAGTTCAGTGGAAAGAAATCACAGAAATCTTGTAATTGAATGAACTAATTAAATCAATATATTACTATGGGACTTTCTTACTAATATCTATTATTGTACATGCTGTTATCCCCTCTCAACATGTACTGGTTCCCCTTTAGAGTCTGACTGTATCCTGAGTTCACTCCACCGGAAACTCTGTACACGTTGAGTCATGTGTGGAAAAACCCAATTAGTGTTTGAGTTCATTCCCGCACACATAAACCATTAACAGCCCTGCTCTCTGATTGGTCGGTCTCGTGCGGACAGGATATAAATACCATGTGGACGGAGAGCAGGAACACACACTCAGGAGAAGTATTTCAAATAATAAAGAACACCTCAGATCCAGGACGTCCTTCCTCTTCCTCCTCCTCTTCCTCCAGAGACATGTGTTCCACTCCGTTGGCCCTCCTGCTGGTTCTCAGCACGGCCTCCTGCTTCGAGCTGCTGCCCGAAGAAGCTGCTCCTCGTCGGGCACGATTCTCCTCCAACACCCCCAGTGAGTCCTGGTTCTCCTGCTCCCAGAGGGAAGTAGTGGAGTACAAATACTTTGTTACTGTACTTAAGTACATGTTTCTGGTATCAGTACTTTACTCCACTACTTATTTTTCTGACCACTTTTTACTTTGACTTCTTACATTTTGAACCCAAATACCTGTACTTTCTACTTCTTACATTTTGAACACAAATACCTGTACTTTCTACTTCTTACATGTTGAACACAAATACCTGTACTTTCTACTTCTTACACTTTGAACACAAATACCTGTACTTTCTACTTCTTACACTTTGAACACAAATACCTGTACTTTCTACTTCTTACACTTTGAACACAAATACCTGTACTTTCTACTTCTTACATGTTGAACACAAATACCTGTACTTCTACTTCTTACATGTTGAACCCAAATACCTGTACTTTCTACTTCTTACATGTTGAACCCAAATACCTGTACTTTCTACTTCTTACATGGTTGAACACAAATACCTGTACTTCTCTTTCTACTTTAATGTTGAACCCAAATACCTGTACTTTCTACTTCTCACATGTTGAACTCAAATACCTGTACTTTCTACTTCTTACATGTTGAACCCAAATACCTGTACTTTCTACTTCTTACATGTTGAACACAAATACCTGTACTTTCTACTTCTTACATGTTGAACTCAAATACCTGTACTTTCTACTTCTTACACTTTGAAACTACAAATACCTGTACTTTCTACTTCTTACATGTTGAACACAAATACCTGTACTTTCTACTTCTTACATGTTGAACACAAATACCTGTACTTCTACTTCTTACATGTTGAACTACAAATACCTGTACTTTCTACTTCTTACATGTTGAAACCCAATACCTGTACTTTCTACTTCTCACATGTTGAACACAAATACCTGTACTTTCTACTTCTCACATGTTGAACACAATACCTGTACTTTCTACTTCTCACATGTTGAACCCAAATACCTGTACTTTCTACTTCTTACATGTTGAACCCAAATACCTGTACTTTCTACTTCTTACATGTTGAACACAAATACCTGTACTTTCTACTTCTCACATTTCCCAAACAGGCTGGTTCCTTTAGTTTGAATGTGTGTTGGGTGGCGTGATCATTATTATTTAGAGTCATTGCGTGCCTATTGATTTGAACACGATCCGTGTATCCATCATTTCCTGGTCTTCTCTAAAGAAGAGGGACCAATGAAAACGTTGTCATGTTGCCGTTGTTCAGCATGGAAACATTCATTAGCTAACAATGACATTATTGTTCTATTAATATAAAGGGAGGTCAGGTACTCTTTAAAACAGCTGCTAGTTATGGGTACTTTTTACTGAAGTACATTTCAAAGCGTCTTTACTTTTACTTGAGGAAAGGAGTTTAGTCGGTACTTCTACTTTCACCAGAGTATTTTTAAACACGAGTATCTGTACTTCTACTTTCACGAAGAAGCTGCTCCTCGTCTCCTCCAACTGTGAGTCCTGATTTAATGTGGATTTATTATGTGTTTACATATTGTCATTGACGCCTCTCGATACTCCCTCCATTCATTTTGATAGCTCGGTGAAGTAACTCGTTTGTTGGTCTATTTGTGTGCAAAACGTTAACTGTTGTTCATAGCTGTGTTTGGTTACAGCCTACTTTAGTTTCTTATCGCTCTTAAGAAGTGAGGGTTTTATTTTGTGTATTTAATAGTTAACTCGTAGTTAAGAGTCTCCCTTAGTTTCTCTTCGGGTCCTTTGTCTTGTGTGTCGCTGCTTGTTGCCATTTATTTTGAGCTCTCTCAATAAATAACTTGTAATCACCAACTGGTTCTTTGTTACTTCCCCTTTCCCCGAGCCGGGACGCAACGGAGACATTCTGCAGAATTTGTACGTTTACTTTTGACACTTTAAAGTACAAGCTGTAACGATTAATCCATCGCGGGGAAAAGTAATCGCTAAATATTGTGTAATCTTTTACTATTTCTGCATATAGCATTTTCTGACATGCAAAAAAATACATTTTGTTTAGTTTCACTCTGTTTTGCATCTTCTGAAACGGACTAGGCTCATCTCTCTGTCTGTGCAGCTGATGTTGCCTGACGTTTAAATTGAGAATTATTTTCTTGCAAAAATGCGAGAAATGGCAGTTTTCCACCTCTCAAATATAGAAGTTTCTTGCAAAAAAGCCAGAAAGTTCTATTTCTGCCTCTTAAAAAATAGATTTCCTGCAGTTTCCCTGTGTTCCCCTCATGTTAAAGTGAACGTCTCTCTCTCTCAGCTGATGTGGCCAGATGTCTGAACGGAGCTGTGACGGTGGGATGCGGATTCTTCTCCTGCCTCGAAAACTCAACCTGCGACACCGACGGGATGCACGAGATCTGTGAACTGTTCCTCCAATCAGCTTCCTCCTTCAACACCGAGGTAACACACACACACACACACACACACACACACACACACACACACACACACACACACACACACACACACACACACACACACACACACACACACACACACACACACACACACAGTAAATGCATGCCTGTCTACCTGCTGCCTGTCTCACCTCTCTCTCTCTGTGTGTGTGTGTGTGTGTGTGTGTGTGTGTGTGTGTGTGTGTGTGTGTGTGTGTGTGTGTGTGTGTGTGTGTGTGTGTGTGTGTGTGTGTAGGGTAAGGCCTTCGTGAAGAAGAGTCTGCACTGCATCACTCAGGGAATTTCAACGAAGATTTTCCAAACGATCCGACGCTGCAACATCTTCCAGAGGATGATCGCAGAGGTTCGTCCAAATAATAATTAATATATAGGAAACGTATAATATAATAAAAAGAATGACAACATTATTATGATCATTTCTTTGATGTAATTATTTTAAGATACTAGAATGTATCTATTGTGTGTGTTTCCTTTTACAGGTGCAGGAGGAT